TCTCTTGCAGGCAACTCTGAGCGCCGATCATCGGATAAAAGCGACCAATTGACAAATTCATCTTACAATCTTGAAAATAACAAACAAAACCAAAAATGCATTCATTTAACAAACAATAACAATTCGGCAACAACACCAGGTCTGTGTATATTACAGCAAAACCTCTCTTTCCTCTCTCTTCTACTCTACAAAAAAAACACCATAAATTACCACATATCAAATCGCAATCAAAATTCTAGAGAAAACAAAAGCTCCCAAAAAATTGCAACGAAATACTAGTATGCTCCCACCAAATGAATGGTCCACCCACACAATGTTCCGTTCCGTTGTCCAGTCCAAAAACACACCTGCAAAACCACTCACCCAATCCATCAGACTGTACATAAGTTAACGGTTCTCCTCCAGAGCAGAGCAGAGCTGTTCCCGTGCTCCACTGTACTTTTACTCCTCCTTCTTCTACTTAATCCTTTGCTATGCCGCACACTCACGCACAGCCCACTGATAGATACACATCAACTCACACACACGCGCACACACACACACACACACACGCCACATGTACATAGATGTATGTATGTATGTACCTATGTTTTGTATCCTGTATGTACTTTTAGTCGTTGCACAACACTTTTGCATGATAGTGCCGCTTGGGGCTTGGGGGAACGGAATGGGGCACGGGCTACGGGGTGCTTAATTCCAGTGATTTGTGCGTCAAACCCATTGATTGTTTACTTTGTGTTTAGTTGGATACATAGTATATATCTCTCAGGTGCATGCATGTTGTGTGGTTCCTAAAATAAACCCCTGAATGAGGGAGGCGATGCACACTTCATACATGTATGATGTGTGATTGTGCGTGTCTCTCTGGTATGGACTACTCTACTCGTATCGTGGTGACAATTGAAGCGACAACGCACTTGAATCAGTTTTCCAATTATAACATACGCCACGCCATCCCCCCCCACTAGAATGCCCTTAATCGCACAGCCTTGTTGGACGTGTCCCGCCCCCCATTGCTCCCATTCCTCCCATTACCCCCATTTTTGGATTTCTTTTCCCCCCCCCCCCCCTGCATTTTCATGTCGTGCGTCTTTTGATTAATTTTGAAAAACATTCAAGGGACCTTTGTAGCGTGTGCCGCGGCTACAGAAACCAAGAAGTTTTCGACCTCAAAGAATATGGCTACTCCGTCGCCATCCACACCCCCGCACACCCTACACCGTTCCACGAGCATGACGGCAATAAAATAAAGAAAGCTTTAATTATATTTTCGGGCCAGCGTTTTTATTATTATTTATTTACACGACGACGTATGTACGCGGGGAAACTCTTTCTTCGTTGGTTCTATTTTTGGGAGGGCAAGCGGCTATTTTCGTTGCCACCACCGCCACCATGTCTCACGGTCTGTGTGTTTTGTTGATCTTCATGTCAAGTGTGTGTTTTGGGTCTTTCTTGTACTGCATGTCTCCAATCAGTCCAATCAGTCCTGAGCGCACACCCCCAATCCCCCAATCACCAAATTCCCAGTCTCTGTCTCTATCTCTCTCACTCTCTCTCTCTCTCTGTTTTCCACCCACTATGTTCTTTTGAGATTAAAGATACACCTTAGTGACTCTGCCACCTTATCTTATCACAGATCGCGGTGGGAATGATAGCTCCGGGAATGAGGGAAACGCCGGATATACCGATGGCCAGAACTCGGATCCACAGAACAGTCCGCCGCGGGACAAGGACTACATGCGGATGCAGCAACAGCTGACGCCCGTGAGCTCGGTGGCCACTAGCATGGGCAGTGCCTCCGGAATGGTGACGCCCGTCCAGACCGAGAAGTTTGCGCGTCTGTTCCGCACATCCAGCAATGCGCCATATCCAGCGGGAGCTGTCGGCACCAGCGGCGGAGGTCCCAACAGCGCCCAGAGTGGCGGCAAGCGGAAGCACACACTAAGCTTGAGTACGGAGCCCAGGTCTGTGCTGGAGACCTGTCTGTCGCCTACCAATGTGGAGCCGCGCAAGCTATTGCTCGACCAGCTGAGTCGTGTATTCGCCGGCGAGGACAATGCCATACCCGAGGTGGTGACCATCATCAGTCCCCCCGAGGCCCTGGGCGGCAGCAGTCTGTTGGCCAAGTTGGTGACGCTCTTTGCCAACTCGTTCAAGCCGGCCTTTGTGCCGCAGAACACCGCCGAGGTGAAGGCCGTCTTGCAGGCACTCATGGCCAAGATCCAGAAGTAGTAAGTAGATGCAGCATTCCGCTCCAAAGCAAAACATAACAATCAATCTCTCTCCCCTTTCTCTTGCAGTTGCAACTCGAATGCCAAGCCACCGCACACGGTCAAGGTGCTGCTTATTGGCGGCGATTGGCTGCAGGGCGCCACACTGCGGCACTATGTCGAGCTGATGGGCGTCCGTCCGCCCGACTGGCTCAACCATTTGCGCTTCTATCTAGTGCCCATCGGCGGCAGCTGCGGCAGCGTGGCCCGCCACCTCAGCCAGATGGATCAGGCATACGCAGCGATGTTCGGCTCCGAGAACTGGATGCAGTTGTGCGAGAGGGCGGCGGCTACAGCGGCGGCCGTGAGTGCGGTGACCACCGTGAATGCCACCGCTCTGACGGCCAATCTGGCGGATGCGGCTGGTGTGGCCAAGTCGGACATTGCGGAGCTGGTGCAGCGCATCCAGCGATATTTGCATGCGGCCGGACCTTGCACCCAGATACCCATTGCCGAGGCAATGGTCAACTATAAGGACGAGGACTCTTGCCAGATCTTTGTGCCGTTCGTTAGTGTAAGCACGAAGCCCCAATTCCCAATGGACTGCCCTGTGTAACACTTTCGTTTCATTTGCAGGACGTACGCATCGGCTACTCGGATGCTCAGGCCTCGCTGGATCTCGAGGAGAATGCTGCTGGCTCGAATGCAGCGCTCTCTGCGCTGAACTCTTCATCCGCCAGCAGTTCGGCCATACCCATTGGCAGCCAGAGCTCGCCCAATGTGCATGGCGCCGTATCGGGTTCGCCTCCCCAGCAGCAGATCCTGGGACGCATCTCACCGCCACTGCAGACGCCACCGTCATCGGCCTCGTCGCATCGGGAGCGCAACACCAGCGAGTCGCTGAGCACACCCTCGTCGCTGCAGCAGCAGTCTTTCAGCGGAGCTTTGGCCGCCGTTGAGGCAGTAGAACTGCAGGTCGACTATTGGCCGCTGGTGCGGCCTGGCGAGACGCACACGAAGGAGTCGAAGGGCAGCACGTCGAAGGGCGGCGATGCCGGCGGTGGCAAGAATAGCATTAAGAGTACGTTTAGGAATCTGCAGGTGTGGCGTCTGCCACAGCATGCACAGCAATTGGGTGATATGTTCAATGGACTGACTGTTAGTTTCGCCACCAAGGAGAAGAAGCAGAAGCAAAGTAAGAATCCCAAAATGGAATGAATCTTAAAGGAACTACCATTCATTACATTCCCTTTGCGCCCCTCTTTCAGTTATGCGCCTGGGCAAGAAGAAGGACAAGGAACGTGATCTCGAGAAGGAGCAGTGCGTCGAAGGCGTGGCACGCCTGATTTGCTCACCCAAGCAATCGCATCCGGTGCCACTGCGTGGTGAGTGATCCCTCTTGTATACATATGTCCACACGTGAGTGTATACTGATTTCATTCGAATTCCATTCCGTATTTGTAGTGTATATCGACGGCACCGAGTGGACTGGAGTCAAGTTCTTCCAGGTCTCGTCGCAATGGCAGACGCACGTCAAGAACTTCCCCATCGCTCTCATCGGGTGCACACCCATGTCCTGTGCTGAATTATCCTAGTCATTTTAATCGTCAAGCGCGCTCACATGGGTTCCCCCGAGAACCACAGAGAGACACTAAAACACACAGACACAGACCCCCCCCCACCATCCCTCGTGCATGGCGAGCACTTGCGCGGCAATAATTATTATAAACTGAAGAAGAATGATAATTTATTTTATAATTAGAATTTGTAAATTTTTAGTTAATAAAACCATTTAGCATGTAAATCTTCTTTAAGTTCATTTCCGCAAACAAATTGTGAATTCAACCGATACTTACGACCCCCACAGCCACAGCCACAGCAACACATCACACAACACAGAAGCAGACCGATAAGAGACATCAGCAGAAACACTATTAGCTAACTGACAAGCTTCAAATAGCTTAATTATAGAAAACGACAAAAAGTATGAACAACGCGTATCAATATATCCTGTACAAGAACTAAGCAAAAAACAAACGTAAAAAAACTAAACTTTGTAGTTGCCGTTTCAAAAACTTCTATGAACCTCGTGTTGCTCTTGCCCCGTTTGGCATGTTATAGCAGATAGCCTCCCTTCCTCCCTCCCCTATCACAGCCCGCCAGATGGGTGGGGTCCACTTGGAGTCCTTCGGTAGATCTCACAATCTTTGCACCCGAAGGCGGAACCACCACTGGCTCCAATATGCTGGTCTAACTATCAAAAAAGTATCTAAATGTTATGCAGCCTACAACTACTTGACATATTTAACCAAACCCGTCGTCTATATACTACCTAAATCAGAAATATCTGTGTGTGAAATTATATACAATATACATATACATATATATTCAACCTATACAAAAAAAACCATGTGTGTACTACTCTTATTGTTGTGATTTTTTGAAATTTCAAATTGTATTAGCGAGAGTTAAACCAAAACTAAATTTATATACATATGCATATATCTACATATATGCATGTGTGTGTGCGTGTACGAGTATACAGCAGAGAGACATCAGGCGCGAGACGGACAGTAAAGTGGCAGTTCGATATCATATATGTATATTATATATTCTATGTAATCCCCCCAACCCCCCAGTAATCGCATTCGTATTCCTCCCCCTCCCTTTGTGTAGTAGTTGAATGCGAAACTCGTCTGCGTGTTTTCCCAAAGCCCCCCTCCCTGTTTGAACTGAAAGCTAGAAATCGCTTGCGATTGCGTTGAATAGAGTGCAGAATGCGTTGCGAAGTGAAATATTGTAAGGCGTGTAATTTATAAATGTACTATTAAACATATGTATGTATTAAAGTTAAATACGAAACGAATTCCGAGTCTTTATTTAAATGGTAAGTGGTCAAATATCATCGCACATGAAGAATCTGCTGTGGTAGACCATTTATAAGGATGGCGCGCTCCTTGAGGCCCAGGGAGCCTCCTAGACCGCCTGGTGGTTGTAGGAACGTGAGGTCCGGGTATCCCTTGGGCTGGCCAAACTCCCGCAGATTGGCGTTGCTCTCGCTTAGCTCGTCCAGGGACCAGACGGCTAAATTACGAGTCTTTCCATGACGTGCCAAGACATAAAACTGTGAATTAATACCAGATTATAGCTTGATGTATATCACAAAGGGGGTCCCTTCGATCCACTCACCTTATCATGGGCATCCACTAGGTAGCCCACAATGAGCGCCCAATGGGCACGGTGCCCAGACTTTAAGCAAGGCGCATGATTGACATCAGCATCGTAACTGAGATATACAGGACTTAAGGACAAACCAACAAAATATTTCAGGGAAACCTCAGTCAACGCACAATATCAAGTGATTTTTATTATTAAATACAATTCGTATAAAATGCAGGTGATCTTAATTAACAGAATAGAATAGGACTCGCTAGCCTACCCTCATGGGTGGCGATACCAGGATAACGCCATCGCCTCGCACAAACAGCATGGGAATGGTGCGTTTTGTGGTTTTGTAAACCTCCTCGTATGTTTCTTCGTCGATCTCCACGGTGGTGACGGTCTCCTCTGCATCGCCCAGCACCATATTCAGATGCTGATCGAACGCCTATTAAACGGAGGATTATCTTGAGCGTATAATTGAGTGTAGTGTTGCAACTTACATGTAGACGCCCCCGCAGCTCCCGCTCGTTGCGCATCTTCACGTACACCTTTTCATCTAAGCTCAGGCGAATTAGATCCAGCGGCTCCTTCACCGGCAAAATTACCTGACTGAGCTGCAAGTACGAGACTTAGAGGGCTTCATTGGCATTTGTCAATAGTACATACCTGCTCCTCTTCGGTGGCCATTTTATTCAAACAACACTTTTTTGGTTAATAAAACAAGAAAAAACAAAACTCAGTTTTGCTGTCTATGATATCGCACTAAAAAACACCACAAAGCATGTGCGCAGTTTGGCAGCACCGCGAGCACACACTGTGCTGTTATGCGCGGAAGTAATCGGAAGTAATCGACTTAAAATTAAGAATTTTGAAAAAGGATACGGCACAAGCAAGCAGCCACCAGCTCGCAGGAGCTCTGTGACCTTGTTACAGCAGAGCCGACCCTCGTGCAATTGACACGCACCGGGTCCGTGTCCATGCAGATGTCTGCGCGTCAGTTCGTATAAATATTGAGCACTGAACATTTCCCCATTGATTGTGTACTCCTGTGCAATGGCATCTTCTAGAATGTGTGCAGCGGTGGGGTTTCCATTGAGCAGCATACTTACGGCAGTCAAGCCACACGTGGGTCCCACCTGAAAGAACACCCCACCCAGTCATTTTGACATTTATGATACAGTCCTTCACAATACTTACTTGTAGTATACTGGCCACGGAATAGTACTGGCATTGCTTTGGTGGGATATATTGACACACACGGTTCAGGTAGCATCCTTTTTGCAGCTCTGGATATTCCCAGGCCCATGCACACTCGTCTCCTGATATATTAATCACCGACGGGCGATCCTTGGGTGACGCCACAGGTGTAGTTTTGTTAATACTTGATGGTAGTGGGGGTGGAGGCGGCGGGGCCGAGATGTGTGGCATTGCAACAAAATATATTTTCCATAGAATTACAACAGCTCTATGTTACTATACACAGCTGTTTTTTCAGCTGAGCTTCATTTAACAGGTTTATGTTAGCACCAGCTGTTCTATCTCGGTGCACTCCGCCAGAGGGCGCACTTCGCACGAGGAAGAGTGCGCGAGTGAGATAGGGGTAGTCACTATAATAATGATCCGATCTGATCCCTACCTTATGTTGTATAGTCTCTGAGATCCAGGAACCCGTCAAGAATGACGGACAGACCGAAATTAAGAATATATACATATGCTTTATGGGGGAAACGCTTCCTTGTGGCTGTTGCATACATCTTTACGAATTTAATACACTCTGAGTGCTGGGTATAAAAAGGGAAACAATTAAATTTAGCTTAATTGTGTACTTTTTATTAATGATTTTTAAAGTTTTTATTGTATAAAGTAAACCGAAAAGAAACGCATACAAATTTATATTAATTAGTGGAATAAAGTACAGACCAAATAGACGAGAAACAAGGACCAATTTACATAGAAACTATATTTTGTCTACTCGTACATATACATACATATACCAGTAACGTAATTAACTAATCAAAATAACTCTCGAATCTTATGCAAGTTGATGAAAGTTTTGGGGAGCAGAGCGGATCCAGATTGTTGCCAATTCGATGCGAAAATTCAAATTAAAATTATATGGATAATACAATGGATAGAATAGATACAATAAAAATGTTTCGTTTTATTAAATTTACAATCACAAGATTTTGTTGTTTGCTTCGAAGATACTTTGTTATTGTATTCTCAATGGTGCCTGTTGCAAAGCCCAGCAGCTGCTGCGTGCATACAAATTTTACTAATTAAATGGCAAAAATAGTACTAGGAGCGGAGGACACCTGCATATGAATATGTTATGTAGATACGAGTACACAGAGCATACCTATTTATTGAACGTTTACTTAGATTGTAGGTAGTAGAGTCAGGGTTAGGTATTTGAAGAGGGAGGGGCCATTGCCAGGGGCCCATAAAACGAGTCTGCTGATGCTGATCTGAACTTCTGAACTTGTCGTCCTAACAAATAATTAATTACTATGCTGTTTGCTGAAATTGTTTTACTTAATCATAGAACACTTTCTGTCGTCTCGTTCTCCGTGTGTGTTTGCTTTTCATGTTCATTTGTAATTATCCACGTTGCGTTGTTGTTGTTGTTGTTACATTAGCACTGACAGTTGTCAGGGTTTCCTGGACGATTATTTTGAGAATTCAAGATGATCTGATCGGGGAAATCGTTGATAACTTCAGCCTGTTTTAAGAAAACACATTTGTTAGATCTCTTTTGTACATTAGTTATGTTATTAGCATTGTGTGGGCACCAACCTCTGCCTCCTGCTCCAACGCATTCTTGGCAATAGTCTGAAACGCCATCTCCACGTTGATGCCCTCCTTGGCTGAGGTTTCATAGTAGGGTATATCGTTTTTGGATTGACACCATTGTTGTGCCCTGCGCGTGGACACTTGGCGGTTATCCAAGTCCACTTTGTTGCCTAGCACAACAAAGGGAAAATGCTCGGGATCACGTGGACTGGCCTGTATTAAGAACTCGTCGCGCCAGGAGTCGAGATTCTTGAATGAGTTAGGCGCCGTCACATCGTAAACGAGCACACAGCAGTCAGCTCCGCGATAGAAAGCCACGCCGAGTGACTGGAAGCGTTCCTGACCAGCTGTATCCCAAATCTGTAAGAATAATAGCATGGATTTAATCCCACGTGGAAAATGATCTCCTCTATCAGTCTGCTTACCTGCATTGTGACCACACGGTCGTTGACAACCACCTCTTTCGTGCAGAAGTCGGCGCCGATCGTTGCTTTGTATTGGTTAGAGAAGCGTTTGTTCACATACTGATTCATGAGTGAGGTCTTGCCCACACTGCTGTCGCCCAGTATGATGACTTTCAGCAAAGATTTCTTACGGGTGGCCATTTTGATGTATTCTCTGTTGGCGGTTTGCTTCCACTGGCTCTCTTAAGCTTTGGCAATCGCTGCAAAATAAACAAATATATCGATTCGAGGTTAAAAATAAAGAATCCAATTCTTGTAATTCGATTACGGGCGGCAGGTAAGAGTGGTTTCGATGTAGCCCAGCAACAGCTGGGTTGGCGTCCCATCAATGGACCTCTTCGTCAACGCAGACATGACGAACCATTGATAGGAGCAGTGGAGCGTGGGGCTGTTGATAAACCAGAGGCCAATGGATGACTCATGCTGGTCAGGAAACAATGACATGACTGATCGTTGAGCTGTGATACCGTGTTTTAGGACAAGGGGATAAGCGGGCGCCCGCATCAAAGCTTACAATTATAATCTGGTTTATTAGCTGGCAAGAGTGCTCATCGGAGAAAGTGTGACGCCAGCGCAAACAAAGAGCAGCCATGACGAGGCCACTGCGTAATCACAGCAACCGTGGGTAATAGAAGTTGCTATATTCTCGCGAAGGAAAAACGCCCATTCCGAGTAATAGAATAGAATAGAATAGGACTCGCTAGCCTACCCTCATGGGTGGCGATACCAGGATAACGCCATCGCCTCGCACAAACAGCATGGGAATGGTGCGTTTTGTGGTTTTGTAAACCTCCTCGTATGTTTCTTCGTCGATCTCCACGGTGGTGACGGTCTCCTCTGCATCGCCCAGCACCATATTCAGATGCTGATCGAACGCCTATTAAACGGAGGATTATCTTGAGCGTATAATTGAGTGTAGTGTTGCAACTTACATGTAGACGCCCCCGCAGCTCCCGCTCGTTGCGCATCTTCACGTACACCTTTTCATCTAAGCTCAGGCGAATTAGATCCAGCGGCTCCTTCACCGGCAAAATTACCTGACTGAGCTGCAAGTACGAGACTTAGAGGGCTTCATTGGCATTTGTCAATAGTACATACCTGCTCCTCTTCGGTGGCCATTTTATTCAAACAACACTTTTTTGGTTAATAAAACAAGAAAAAACAAAACTCAGTTTTGCTGTCTATGATATCGCACTAAAAAACACCACAAAGCATGTGCGCAGTTTGGCAGCACCGCGAGCACACACTGTGCTGTTATGCGCGGAAGTAATCGGAAGTAATCGACTTAAAATTAAGAATTTTGAAAAAGGATACGGCACAAGCAAGCAGCCACCAGCTCGCAGGAGCTCTGTGACCTTGTTACAGCAGAGCCGACCCTCGTGCAATTGACACGCACCGGGTCCGTGTCCATGCAGATGTCTGCGCGTCAGTTCGTATAAATATTGAGCACTGAACATTTCCCCATTGATTGTGTACTCCTGTGCAATGGCATCTTCTAGAATGTGTGCAGCGGTGGGGTTTCCATTGAGCAGCATACTTACGGCAGTCAAGCCACACGTGGGTCCCACCTGAAAGAACACCCCACCCAGTCATTTTGACATTTATGATACAGTCCTTCACAATACTTACTTGTAGTATACTGGCCACGGAATAGTACTGGCATTGCTTTGGTGGGATATATTGACACACACGGTTCAGGTAGCATCCTTTTTGCAGCTCTGGATATTCCCAGGCCCATGCACACTCGTCTCCTGATATATTAATCACCGACGGGCGATCCTTGGGTGACGCCACAGGTGTAGTTTTGTTAATACTTGATGGTAGTGGGGGTGGAGGCGGCGGGGCCGAGATGTGTGGCATTGCAACAAAATATATTTTCCATAGAATTACAACAGCTCTATGTTACTATACACAGCTGTTTTTTCAGCTGAGCTTCATTTAACAGGTTTATGTTAGCACCAGCTGTTCTATCTCGGTGCACTCCGCCAGAGGGCGCACTTCGCACGAGGAAGAGTGCGCGAGTGAGATAGGGGTAGTCACTATAATAATGATCCGATCTGATCCCTACCTTATGTTGTATAGTCTCTGAGATCCAGGAACCCGTCAAGAATGACGGACAGACCGAAATTAAGAATATATACATATGCTTTATGGGGGAAACGCTTCCTTGTGGCTGTTGCATACATCTTTACGAATTTAATACACTCTGAGTGCTGGGTATAAAAAGGGAAACAATTAAATTTAGCTTAATTGTGTACTTTTTATTAATGATTTTTAAAGTTTTTATTGTATAAAGTAAACCGAAAAGAAACGCATACAAATTTATATTAATTAGTGGAATAAAGTACAGACCAAATAGACGAGAAACAAGGACCAATTTACATAGAAACTATATTTTGTCTACTCGTACATATACATACATATACCAGTAACGTAATTAACTAATCAAAATAACTCTCGAATCTTATGCAAGTTGATGAAAGTTTTGGGGAGCAGAGCGGATCCAGATTGTTGCCAATTCGATGCGAAAATTCAAATTAAAATTATATGGATAATACAATGGATAGAATAGATACAATAAAAATGTTTCGTTTTATTAAATTTACAATCACAAGATTTTGTTGTTTGCTTCGAAGATACTTTGTTATTGTATTCTCAATGGTGCCTGTTGCAAAGCCCAGCAGCTGCTGCGTGCATACAAATTTTACTAATTAAATGGCAAAAATAGTACTAGGAGCGGAGGACACCTGCATATGAATATGTTATGTAGATACGAGTACACAGAGCATACCTATTTATTGAACGTTTACTTAGATTGTAGGTAGTAGAGTCAGGGTTAGGTATTTGAAGAGGGAGGGGCCATTGCCAGGGGCCCATAAAACGAGTCTGCTGATGCTGATCTGAACTTCTGAACTTGTCGTCCTAACAAATAATTAATTACTATGCTGTTTGCTGAAATTGTTTTACTTAATCATAGAACACTTTCTGTCGTCTCGTTCTCCGTGTGTGTTTGCTTTTCATGTTCATAATTATGTTGCAAATTTTATTTTATAACATAGATTTTGTAATTATCCACGTTGCGTTGTTGTTGTTGTTGTTACATTAGCACTGACAGTTGTCAGGGTTTCCTGGACGATTATTTTGAGAATTCAAGATGATCTGATCGGGGAAATCGTTGATAACTTCAGCCTGTTTTAAGAAAACACATTTGTTAGATCTCTTTTGTACATTAGTTATGTTATTAGCATTGTGTGGGCACCAACCTCTGCCTCCTGCTCCAACGCATTCTTGGCAATAGTCTGAAACGCCATCTCCACGTTGATGCCCTCCTTGGCTGAGGTTTCATAGTAGGGTATATCGTTTTTGGATTGACACCATTGTTGTGCCCTGCGCGTGGACACTTGGCGGTTATCCAAGTCCACTTTGTTGCCTAGCACAACAAAGGGGAAATGCTCGGGATCACGTGGACTGGCCTGTATTAAGAACTCGTCGCGCCAGGAGTCGAGATTCTTGAATGAGTTAGGCGCCGTCACATCGTAAACGAGCACACAGCAGTCAGCTCCGCGATAGAAAGCCACGCCGAGTGACTGGAAGCGTTCCTGACCAGCTGTATCCCAAATCTGTAAGAATAATAGCATGGATTTAATCCCACGTGGAAAATGATCTCCTCTATCAGTCTGCTTACCTGCATTGTGACCACACGGTCGTTGACAACCACCTCTTTCGTGCAGAAGTCGGCGCCGATCGTTGCTTTGTATTGGTTAGAGAAGCGTTTGTTCACATACTGATTCATGAGTGAGGTCTTGCCCACACTGCTGTCGCCCAGTATGATGACTTTCAGCAAAGATTTCTTACGGGTGGCCATTTTGATGTATTCTCTGTTGGCGGTTTGCTTCCACTGGCTCTCTTAAGCTTTGGCAATCGCTGCAAAATAAACAAATATATCGATTCGAGGTTAAAAATAAAGAATCCAATTCTTGTAATTCGATTACGGGCGGCAGGTAAGAGTGGTTTCGATGTAGCCCAGCAACAGCTGGGTTGGCGTCCCATCAATGGACCTCTTCGTCAACGCAGACATGACGAACCATTGATAGGAGCAGTGGAGCGTGGGGCTGTTGATAAACCAGAGGCCAATGGATGACTCATGCTGGTCATGAAACAATGACATGACTGATCGTTGAGCTGTGATACCGTGTTTTAGGACAAGGGGATAAGCGGGCGCCCGCATCAAAGCTTACAATTATAATCTGGTTTATTAGCTGGCAAGAGTGCTCATCGGAGAAAGTGTGACGCCAGCGCAAACAAAGAGCAGCCATGACGAGGCCACTGCGTAATCACAGCAACCGTGGGTAATAGAAGGCGCTATATTCTCGCGAAGGGAAAACGCCCATTCCGAGTAAGCTAGGAGGGGGAGTAACTTTTAAGCAATCAAAAAATAATGCAAAATGGAATCACTTCGACCAGTGTCAGTGGAGATACCACCCGCCCGATGGACCCGTCGAATTACTTGTTTTTGTCTACCACTACCAGCATTGCAATTGCCGTTGTGTGCCTATGTGTGTGCCTTTGTGTGTACATTCGTGTGTATGTTTGATTGGGGGCCTCCAATGGCATTTTCCATGCATTTTTTGTCTGCTGCGTAACACTATTTTGCACAGGTTTTCGCCTTGCGTTTAATGTTTCTCACACTTTAACTTACATTGAACACTGTTACACAGTCTAAGAGTAATCTTTTTTGTACCGATTTGGCTTGAATTTGATAAAATATTTAATTAATTACGCAGCGCAGATTTTGTTGTTGCTTGTTATTTATCGGATTTATCGAAAAAATATACCGTCGAAATATACCCTCAGAAATATACCGTAAATATACCGATGAAAAAACGAACTTAGCCCACTTCAACCCGCTCTATTTGAACAACGTTATTTGAGTTAAACCACTAACCATACAGTAATTTATCGCTTTTAGCTACACCTGTATATGTATGTATTTTTTATATATACAAGTATTTTGTGCTTGAGCGATTCAAGATTCTTGCCCTAATATAAAAAAATCGTATAAAATGTATATACTTAATATTATAATTTTTTATTATAGAATATTCGAATACATATATATTAAATACTTTTGGCGGATGAGCGAAGCGCCTCAATCCAGAGGCACGAACGGCTAAAACTTAATGCTAATTTGTATATATGTGCAAGACAGTCCATCACATCACAAGGTGCAGGTGTCATCGCTAGATTACCACAGGCCAGACGGAGCAACGGAAACCTACACATGCACACGAATATTCAAAGTAACGGTGAGCGCAAAACCAAAGCATTGTTGCCATTTTAGCTTTTTTTAAGCTAGATTTTGTTTATTTTTAAATCGAATAGCTTGAAAAGTATTTGCATTGCTTACAGCGAGATATCTAGCTTATTTCAAATTTCTTTTAGCTTATTTTAACTTAAAAAATTTAGTACAAAACCATTTTTGTTTCTGATTTGATTGTAATATTTTTTAATTTGTATCGATAAATCGGACAAAAATCATATATGTTGTTCGTATTTTGGTATATCGTCCAATTTTGTGTATAAATGTAAGGTAATTATTCGTTGATAAGTTTCAATCACACTTCAGTATTGTACATGTTTGCACATTTACATACAAAAAAAACGCAATTTGCCAACTGACCCCACAAAAGCGTACTGCTGTTTTTGTAAGCAACAATAGAAGCCAAGTTGAAATTACGGCAGCATGCTGTCGTCCAGCATGCTTGCGTCCAATGTAAGCATGGCACAAGCTAACAAAATACCTTTTGTTAGAAAGTCTTCAAAAACAGAGGAGCAAATGCCTGCATTTTGTTTGTACATTGCTGAGCACTCGGCCATGGCATAATGAAATGGATAAAATCATGTAATTACATTAATAAAAAATGCAATTATCCCATATTTTGATGTGTTTTATGGTTAGTGTAGTTGTAAGCTTATTCTAGCTTTTTTCTCTTCAATCTAGCTTATGGTGACTCTCAAAATCTGGCAGCACTGGTACCCAGTGTGCCCGCAGCGCAACACCAACGGTCACATTACAAGCTGAATTTTGTATATAAAGCAACGACGCCAGAGCCACAATCGGCCCGCCATCGGCCCAACATATCCGCCTCGAATTCCTCTCGAATCGTACTTCAACCTCCGCAACCAGACTTCTCGGAGCGTAATTGAACCTCCGCAACCAGACTTCTCGGAGCGTAATTGAACCTCCGCAACTAGACTTCTCGGAGCGTAAGTAAACCTCCGCAACTAGACTTCTCGGAGCGTAAGTAAACCTCCGCAACTAGACTTCTCGGAGCGTAATTGAACCTCCGCAACCAGACTTCTCGGAGCGTAATTGAACCTCCGCAACTAGACTTCTCGGAGCGTAATTGAACCTCCGCAACCACACTTCTCGGAGCGTAATTGAACCTCCGCAACCAGACTTCTCGGAGCGTAAGTGAACCTCCGCAACCAGACTTCTCGGAGCGTAATTGAACCTCTGCAACCACACTTCTCGAATCGTACTTCAGCCTCCGCAACTAGACTTCTCGGAGCGTAAGTGAACCTCCGCAACCAGACTTCTCGGAGCATTCTGGATATCTATGTAAAGTCTGCGAGGTCGTTTACCTTGCCGCGGCCCGGGTGGAGCTTGCTTGATACTCCTTAGACGGAGCCAAGGGTTTTTTTTTCAACTATTAACGTCTACGTTACAGAATGTCAAAATCAGTATAAGGGTTTTTGAAATTTTACAATATTTATTATGGTCGCACCATATTCATTATTTATCTCAAAAACCAAATTAAGGTTCCAGCTACCGGGAGAGCATGGTCCGGGTTCGATGATGACGAAGCCAAGCCCCGAGAGGGAAACCAACAAAC